CTGGGGCTCCATAATAATGAACCCAAGGTGCATGGGCCCTGCAACTCTCCTAGCCAGCCGCACTTCCCCTGCATCAGTCTTCACCACTTGCTTGTAGCCCTTCGACAGAAACAACAACTCTTCTTCTTCCCTTTCTTCTCTCCCTCCCCTTCTACTCTCCCCTCCTTCTATATAGCCCATTGCCATGGATAACCCATAGTGCAAAACCAGCACTAGCAGCAAAATCGTCACACTCTTTGCCATGGTGAAATTTCTTGCCCGATTTCTGTGTTATCGCAGTTGGTTTATGTAGAGAAAAAAGAGGGAAATTAGGGAGACGCGTGGGTTGCATGCAGTGTGCATAGGTTTAGGTGGCAGTTTCTGGGTTAGACACAGTTGAGATAAGAAAATACTAGTATCTATATATCAACGATCCATCTTTTTATGCAGACATTGCCATCGGATCTTCTGACTTGGCATACAGTAGGTAAACAAGCCTGCGATATTTTTTATTTTACTTTAGTTTTTCATTTTTCTGTTTTGGCAACATATGGTATGAAGCAACGAACAACCTGTTGGTTCAGTGTAAGAAGTTCAATTTCCTTGAGTAAGTTCTCGAGTTTGAAACTTATAAACGAAGAAATAGGAGTTGATAGAGTTTCTCTTAATAGAATCCAACACAAATTGATTCGAAATTAGTTGGGACTCAATGTAATTATCGGATATAAAGAGATTAATACCAAAAAAATATGATATGAAGTACGGCAGGGAGGTTTTGGACTAGAGTGCTTAATACTCAACCCAAATCTTTTTTTTGTTTTTAATTGTTAAAGAGACTAATGTGAATATAAGTCAATTTATCAGTCCTGGGGCTCAGTTTCATTCACTGAGGAGTAGCTGGGATGTGTAGTTAGTCTAATGGATGGGAAGGATATGCCGGAAGCTGTAAAGGCTCTGCTCTTCCTCAATTCTTGTGTTGAGTACAGTTACATTTATGAACCTTAATTTATTAGCCTTAACTTTCTAGTTTCCCTTCTCTTCATAAATGCTAGACCTTCTCAGTTACTAGTACTATCTATAGCTACTACTATACTATTGATAATAGATGTGTTGAGTCTCTTAAGCATCTTCCATTGGTTAAAAGGCTCAAGTATCCATGTTTTAAATTCGAATCTGACGGTGAGTGGGGAAGGTGTTTGGAAATGGGAGCCTATATAACTCAACGTCATCCAATGTGTATTGTTGATACGTTTCCAGGTTATGCCTTTTCAAATACCGCTTCATTTGGTATTACATACACTGTGAAACAGGAAGCTAACTAGTACTAGTTGACATATCAAGGAGCTGTTTCAGCCATGAAATCCCCTGGCCTTGGAGATCTAGGATGTATGGAATTTACTTCACACACACCCCATTTTTTCAAGATAATTCTTGACGACACTGGCAGATGTGAAAAGCTAGTAAGTGTTATGCTCTCTCTCTCTCTCTCTCTCTCTCTCTCTCTCTCTCTCTCTCTCTCTCCATCTTCCGCTGCTTGCCTTACAATTCTCCTGTACTGATGGATGGTTCATTCTGATTTTTGAAACTTATGGATCTTTTTCGTGATTTAAGATCTGAAAGCTTGTTAAACTAGAGAACTGGATGTCAATTAATCCAGATTAATCAACAGAACCATGTTTTGGTTCTACATCTTCACACATGGTATAAGATGGATGTTAATTAGAGTTATCTTGCAGAGGATTCCGGAGAAGTTTGCAAAAAGATATGGAAGTGATATTTTGAGTCCAGTGTTCCTTAAGGTACCAAGTGGGGCAGTGTGGGAAGTAGAATTAAAAATGTGTGATGATGATACGTGGCTGTGGAATGGGTGGTCTGAATTTGCAAAGCATTATTCTCTTGGTTATGGATCCTTTCTTGTTTTTAGATATGAAGGGAATTGCCATTTCCATGTGATCATATTTGACAAGACTGCTTTGGAGATAGCATATCCATGCGTTAGAACTCATGTCAAGGTTCCTAATCCTACTAATGGTGGATTTCAAGATCTTATGATGGAAGATGATATCTCAGTTGAAATCTTGGATGAGGTTCCACCATCCAAGAAAACAAGAGTGAGATCAGCATCACCGAGCAGCCAACCTCGAAGGATGACGAGATCCACTTCAAATCTAAGATCTCCAGACATCAAACCCAGCAGGGTTAAGTATGAGATCCAAGAGCCAGAATTTGATGGTATGGAGTCTTTCTTATGTTCTCATTATGGTTTTTCTGTTTCTTTTGTCTTTTTCTCAGCCATGTCCTGATTTTGTTGATTTAAACTGGGGTTGATTCAGCTAAAAGAAGTGGTAAACATCCACAAAAAATGGAAGTTTGCAGAAGGAAGCCAACATTGGGACACAAGGAGAGAGAGAAAGCCCTTCTGCGAGCCAGTTCATTCAACTCAAAACATCCCTTCTTTGCAGTTGTCATGCAACCATCATATATTTATGATAAGTGTAGAATGGTAAGCTTTCTAATCATAAAATCAGCCTACCATATCATGAACTTCAATAATTAAACTCATTTTTAAGATATCATAAGTAGAAAGAATTTTCTATTTTGTTTGTCTGAAACCTTTATGGTTGTCTCTTCCTTTTTAACTTCTGACCCTTTTTCTCCTGTTTTGTTATTTGGGAGCAGTGTTTACCAGTCAACTTTTTTAGGAAATATTTTCCAAATCACAATAATGATGCAATCCTTTGTAATTGTATCTGTAATGGGAAGACTTGGTCTGTTGTGTGTTCTAGAGAGAAGAAGCCTAAACTTCTTTGTGGTTGGAAAGAATTTGCACAGGGAAACAATTTAGAAGTTGGTGATGTTTGTGTCTTTGAGATGATCAACCAGACCAAGATCACTTTTAGTGTAGCAATTTTCCGCAATGTTCAAGATGCAAAAATTGGCCAAGCACCAGGTAAACGAGTTTTGTTTGAAAAAGTTCCATTCTATTTGTAACATCATCCCGGATGCTTTCCATAAACAAACTCCATGGATACATTTTCTAGTTATTGTTAAAATGTGTTAATGCTTTATGGTTGATTCTTGTCTAGCCACAAAAGTTGGTTGCAGTGAAATGTCCAGTCCTGCTCAAAAATGCTGCATACCTGATGTTCCTACTAGAAAACGGGCACTGGTTCCAACTGAAAAAGCTAGAGATCCTCCAAGAGTCACTTCGTTCAAATCTGAAAACCCCTCTTTTACAGTCACAATTCAGCCATCATATGTTCACTCTGATGTGGTAAGATTTTAATGCTACACCAAACTCAGTAGCACGTTGAGTTATATTTTTAGACCCATAATCCTCCTTAACCAGGAAAAGATTAGCAAAAAAAAACAATAGAAAAAATCCATACACGAACAATCTGAATTAGTAGATTGGCATGCTATAGATAAAAGTAAAAAGTAGAGACAGAGAAACAGTCCCTGACATTTCTTGCATGTCTTATGCTAAATTAATACATTGATGCCTCTGAGTTTAATGTTTTTTCTGCAGAATGTGCCATGTTTCTTTGTAGAGGAACATGTCAAGCAGAATGTAGAGGATGTGAAACTTCAGATTGGTGACAGATTATGGCCTGTTAAGTTGCTCAGATCTTCAAGGTATAGGAAGACAAAGCTGACTTCTGGTTGGGGTACATTTGTGACACAGAATTCCGTCAAGGTTGGAGAAGTGTGTATGTTTGAGCTGATTAATAGGGAGGAAGCTGTGCTGAAAGTGCACATTTTCAGAAAATCTGCTGAGTAAATGGTGTTTTTCAATTGCATTTTTTTTCCCCTGTTTGTTGAAGGTGGTTGTTTTCGGATTATAAATCTCACTCTTTTTTTTTTTTTTTTTTTTTTTTTTGGTGCATAGGACAGTGCTTAATAATCAAGAATTGACTGCAAACTCCTCTCATGTCTTCTTGCAAGAATTGAATGCAAGTTCTTATCCAAATGCTTATGTTAGCACAATTGTAAGTTGGTATTTTCTTGTAGTAGGTCTAGTTCAGGGTAAAGTCTTTGGCCGGGTCTAGAGAAACATCATTGTTGGTAACATTTCTGCTCATGTTCCTAAACACCCTAACCGTTAAGCTTTTGTTAAAAATGGAAATTCCAGGCACATTCTTGTTTTCTTCATAGAAAGGAAAAGGTGTAATGTACAGCAGACGCCACAAAATCCCAAAAACTGAACCATGCTTAACGGTCACTTCTCTACAAAACACATTTACTTCAATTCGCAGCCAAAATCTCAGAACATTTAGTTGCAAAAAAGCTGGAAAGAATTTGCTGAGCATTCTTCTATCAAGTATGGACACTGTTCAGTTTTTAGTTATGAATGAAATTGCAAATTTCATGTTTTAATATTTGGAAAAAAATGGGATTTAATTTACACCAACTGGTTCATGTTATTGAGAGGTGATTCTTCCAGCCAGCACTGGAGCTAAGATGGGCTTTCTATTAGGATTCAGTCCAAATTCTCGTCATTGTGAATTGTGATTTCATTCACTAAGGAGAACCAGCCGGGATATGTGCGTACATTTCGTTTAACAAAACTTTTTAAAACTTTAACATTTTAATTTTATGCCTTTTTATTATTTTTTAAAAAATATAAAATTTAATTAAAATAAATATTAAATATATTTTATATATTTTTAAAATTAAAAAACTAACAACTGTAGTCACAGAACAGTACCCTCAAACTAATCCTTAGTATAATGGATAGTAGTAGCTGTAAGCTAAAAAAGGACTCTGCCTTGATTTTTTTTTTTTTTTTATGTTGATTGCACAACGGAAGATACTCTTCTCTTATTTTTTATTTCACTTCATTTATAAGTTATACAACTTGAAGTTTGGATCTTTCACTTTCAATAAAAGAAAATTACCACTAAATTATTTAAGTGGTTGACGGTTCTGCTTTGATTTTTATGTATTCTTTTTATAGATATATTTATGAACTTTTAATTCAATTGCCTCAATTGATCGTTTCACTTTAACTTTCTAGTTTCCCATCATAAATACCATACCTTCTCAGATGTTCTTGTAAAAATAGTTGTAGACCTGTAGGTGTTTTAAAGGTAGAAAGCAAAGCCGTGCATGTTTTGGTTGGGGTACATTTGTAAAGAGAGAATTCTGTGGAGGTTGGACAAATCTGTGCGTTTGAGCTGATTAGTGGGGAGGAAGCTGGACTGAAACTGAAAGGCATATTTCAGAAAATCTTTAGTAAGTGGTGCCTTTTCAATTGCTAGTCTTTCTTTTTGTTTGAAGAAGACTTAAAAAGTTAAAGGTGGCTATTTCCAATTAGATTGTGATAACCTCTCTTTTTTTTTCTTTGGTATATGGGGCCATTGCTTAACAATTAAGTATTGATCTCAGAGGCCGCAACTATCGCGAGCAAACACATTAATTCAATAACAAAGAGTGCATTTTGACTATGTAGTGTTTTATTGATTACCTTAATGAAAAAGATGCTTAAAAATCTAAAACTTGAGTTCTGTAATCAAGTTCTTTCCTTGAAATTTCCTACTATAAAAAATAAAAAAAGAAAAAAGTATTGACTATTGAGTTTAAACTCCTATCATGTCTTCCCGCAAGAACTGAAAGACTTCTCCCAGTGGGTTGCCACAAATATGCAAGTTCTTATCCAAATGTTAGAAATTTGACTTTACTTCACGTAACTATTTCTTAATTATTTCTTTTTACCTTGTCAGTTTTAATAGCAGTGCTATCACCAACAATTTAAAAAGTTTTAGGGATAAATTTTTTTAAATAAAAATAAAAAATTATGAAATTGAATAAAATGATATATAATTGTAATAAGATAAAAGAATATAAAAAAATTATTTATTTTTGTATAACTTAAAATAATAAAAAAAAAATTAGCATCATCTAAAAAAAACATAGAGCACAACTGGTTCTTTTACCCAACAAAATTTAACTTTCGTGCTCCTAGAGAACATCCTAATTTGCAAAACTTAAGAAAAAAAAAAAAATTGTGTTGAAAGTAAAATTTCAAGCACATCGTTCTTTTCTTCACGGTAAGGAAGAGGTAAAATGTACTCACGTAAACAGAAGCCACAGGACCTCTTCTTACGTTGCTTAAATTCGCAGCTAAACTGCTAGAAACTGAATCATGCTTGCTTAACGTTAACTTCTCCGCAAAAAACTCATCATGTCGGTCAAAAAGACCGAGTCGTCCTCTGGTTGGCGCCCCAACTCACCCCCTTCCACGCCACCCCAAAACACCATTGCCGTACCCGAGATCCCAATCGAGATCGTGAGCGAAGAAGAGATGGCTTTCATTGAAGCAGCTCTTGCTGCAACTCGCTCCTCTTTCTCGTCTTCTTCCATCCCTTCAATTTGTTCCCCCTCGCGCTCTTCTTTCCCGTCGTCTTCTCAGTTCCAGAGCAACGTGAGGTCGATTCATTCCATTACCCTTTTGTCTAAACGGGGAGTAAGTGGTTGTAGCGAGCCGGATATTGAGGATTCCGGCAATTTGAGCGGTGCCCAGAAGAGGAATAGATTGCAAGAGTCCTTTTTGAGTCGGTTTAGAAGTAGAAGTGGGCTTATGGTTACTGATTTTACTGCCATGGTATAAATTTTTTTGGGTTCGTTTGTTTTATTTTAAGCTTTTGGGAAAAATGTTAGGTTCAATTTGAATTCAAAGTCTCAGGCTTTATGTCCCTTCATGCTGAATTTTGTATTTTAGCTTCAGCTTACAGTGCCTGGTCTCATCTTTGTTGGTTCTTTTTCCCTTCAAATTTTAACAATAGGACTGGTGTGAGAAGCAAGTGGAGTTTAAACTCCGCTTTGGCAGAGGAGAAGTTAATAGAGCAATGAAAGCCGGTCTGGCTCGCCATGCAGAACTTGAACAAGAGGTTCTCTTTCAAATTTCAGAATTTCAAACGTATAAATGTTCTAGCGTTGATTGATTAATTTCTTTAAAGTCAATCTATTCACCATGTCTTTGGAAACTATTATAAACTTATACATGTGCTACTGTTGATTATGTAATATGTTTTATTGTATGTCACATGTTCTCATGGCATCTATCTAGTTTTGCAATCCTTGTTGATTATGTAGTATGTCTTATTGTAGTTTCTCATGGCATCTGTCTTGGGAAACTATGATAAAGTTATACATGTGCTACTGTTGATTACGTAGTATGTTTTATTGTATATCACATGTTCTCATGGCATCTATCTAGTTTCTCAATCCTTTTTGATTATTTAGTATAGTTTCTCGTGGCATCTGTCTTTGGAAACTATGATAAACTTCTACCTGTGCTACTGTTGATGTGCTACTGTTGATTACGTAGTATGTTTTATTGTATGTCACATGTTCTCATGGCATCTATCTAGTTTCCTAATCCTTGTTGATTATGTAGTATGTTTTATTGTATGTCACATGTAATGCTAAATTCTTCAAACTGAAGGTCTTCTACACATAGTGGTTGCATTTATGAAATGTATGACATTGCAACAAACTTAACATTTCAAAGTTTACTTCTTTCATTTGATTCTGTTATCTTATTTTATTGGTGTTCTTTGCATATATTTGGGTAGCATGGTAACTAAAGATCAACTTCATCTGATACTAAATATGCTTCCTGATAGGTTGTTAGAAAATTTGGAGTTCGTACTGACTTAGCTGAAGATAGATGGGCTACAAAGATGATTAATTTCATCACTGGTGTAAATCAACTGTTGTTTGAAGGACTAACACGAGAGCTGCCACTGTGAGTTCAACCATTTTGTTGTTATCTCCAAAGTCTATCTTTAGGTTGCTGGCTACACTTCTGTTTTCTGGTTGAAGCATTTTTTTTCTTGTTCATGTAATTCAGAGCTGTTGCCTGATGTTTTAATTTCCATAGTGATGGTCAATGTCTGTCTGTTCTGTCAGAATAGGCTTTGTTGAAGGTGTGTGGATTGTAGGGATTATTGATGAGATCCGAATGCCCAAAACAGAAACTGATGGAAAACCGATAATAGTGGAGATAAAGACTTGTTTTCGAGA